GGTTTGGGAGAGTGGAGGGGGAAAAAATATCTCTAAAATGTATAAAGTGTTACTGAAATGGTATACTGAAGATGAGACCGTAAAAGGGCAAATGATAAAATGGGCGATAAATATGAATAAGGAGGTTTCTATTGAAACCTGGGAATATTTGTGGAAAAATTCTATTAAGATATCGCCCTGTACCAATGTTAGAGAGAATTGTTATAAAATGATGTATAGGTGGTACATGACCCCGAAAAAAATTGCAAATATGAACCAGAATATGTCAAATAAGTGTTGGAAATGCAAGAGCCATGAAGGCTCATTTTATCATATGTGGTGGACTTGTGAGAAAGCAGTTGACTTTTGGACAAAAGTCCACAAAGAAATGCAAAAAATTCTGAAATGCTCTTTTAAAAAGGCACCGGAAATTCTGCTTTTGGGACTGAAAATGGAAGAAGTCAATACAACTAAAAAGACTTTATTCTGGTACTTAATCACAACAGCGAGAATGATTTATGCACAATTTTGGAAAACAGAGAAAGTGCCAGAAATTGAAGACTGGATACAAAAAGTTCTGTTCATGGCAGAGATGGACAAAATTACGAAGAAGTTGAACAATAAAGAAGACGACGTGTTTTTTCAAGAATGGAGTGACTTTAAAATATATCTGGAAAAGAACTGGGATGTGAAACAAAACTTAATATGTTTAGATCAATATTAAGTCAAATGATGTTATCTTTAGATTGTAACGACAAGAAATTGATATAGTTGATGATATGAAGTAATTTGAAGTAGGGGGGGAAGCATTGCGGGAAGCCACTGGAGGGAGGGGAGGAACTGGGAATGGGGTAGACAATTGATAGAATGAAATGATTTAATTTCATATGTTGTATTCCTGAGAAAATAAAAATTTGTTTACCAAAAAAAAAAGAAAGCATGCCATAGCATCTGATTGTTCTGATGCACAACATGTACTCTGGACAAGAGGCTACTGTTAGGACAGATTATGGAGAAACACAAGGGTTTCGAAGGGGCAAAGGTGTCAGAAAACAGTGCATTTTATCTCCCTATCTGTTCAGTCTGTATGCAGAACATAAACAAAACCGGATTAGATCTAAATGAAGGTTGAGTGAAAATTTGTGGAAGGAACATTAACAATATGAGACATGCGGATGACAACACTTTACTGGCAGAAAATAGTGATGAAATTACTACTGAAAAAGGTTAAAGCAGAAGGGTCCAAAGCAGGATTACTGCTGAACATCAAGATGACAAAAGTAATGACTACTGAGGAACTGCACAACTTTAAGGCTGATGTTGAAGAAATTGAAATCGTTCAGGATTTTCTGTTCCTTGGCTCCATCATCAACCAAAAGGGAGACTGCACCCAAGAAATCAGAAGTAAATTTAGACTAGGAAGGGCAGGTCATGAAGGAGCTTAAAAAGATCCTCAAATATAAGGATGTGTCATTGACGCCCAAGATCATAAATCA